ATCCACTTGAATTTATTTTTTGACAAATAAGGAAAAAATAATCTTATTGTTATTATTATTAATGAATTTAATATTTTTAAATTTTCTATAATTTTAAAATATCAGCATTTAAATGAGAATTATTTATTTTTTAAGTTAATTAATTTAATTACCAAATGATATTACTAAAATAATACAATTTATGTAGAGACGAAAGAATTGAGAGAATAAATGAAAATAAAGCTAACAATAAGAAAAATGCTGGGAGAAAAATGTGAGAAAGTGAGGGAAATTTTTTTAATACCATAGGTGTACGAACTCAATATACCTGTTTACTAAAATGGATACATTTTTTTCATTTTAATCAGAAATTTTTTTATATTTTCCTTCATGTCCTAAAATTTTTTCTCATTTAATCAGGATATAAGTACACCGTTATATCAAAAGTGTCTCGAAAGTGAGCGTTTTGCCATTGTCTAAAAAATCGGGTATTAATGTCCCTCACTTTCTTACACTATGTCCCACTCTATCACGAGGTGAAATTTTGGACATCCGTTTTAAATTTTATTTATACTCCCGACCCTATTCCCTCCGCATGAATTACAATAATTTGATAATATTTTTTATAATTGAATTAATTAAATCAAATAATAATTAATAAGGTAAATAATTATCATTTATATGATGATATTTTGAAATCACCATAAATTTTAAAAATAATTAAATTATTATTATTATAATAACAATAAGATATTTATTAATTTTTCTTTTTCTTTCCTTAATTATAAAAAAATAGAATCAAGTGGATTAAATATTTCAGATGAACATGAACAAAAGTTAATAGTGAAATTAACATTATTAAAATAAGTGTAATATTTTTAATTTTTACAGATTTTAAAAAAAAATTACCAAATGAATGAAAATATTTATGAGTTCAAATATTAGTTTATTTAATAAAATTGATACAAGTTTTAAATTTAATATTAATCTAATGCAATTTGATGAATTCAAATCTTATACTTGACATTTACTCAAGTGAATGTGGAGCATTGAATAATTAAATCACGCTACATATGAAGTTTGACTTTAAGATGTGGTTAACCTAATCAACTTTGTTCAAAGGAATATAGATTGAAATATACTTTGAAAAAGAAATAGATTGAGGAATATTTATTAAAAAAGATAATTTAGACAATAACCTTTTTAAAGGTAAGTTTTGTATTTGTTACATTATTTACGGTTTTATTAAATTACGTAGGACGGTGCTTATGCTTTTCTTTCTTTGTATAATAATATGGACATTTTTTAATTAGCATGCTGTTGATTATATGATTAATGTTTATGATATTGTAGGAGATAATTTTATCTCCTAAACACACATAAATATATAAACACTATTTTTTCTTTTTTTCTTTTTTTCTTCACATAACTTTATATGAGCCCAACATATTTATATATATAAATAAGAGATAAAATTATCTCTTAAAAAAAATTATATTAATCATTATATGAACGTGTTTTGAAGTAAAAGCACGAATGATTATTGTATTATAATTAAGGACCAACGAGGCAAAGGCTGACTATTCTAGAAGGTATAGGAATTTAGAAAGGTGGCACGTTACTCGCTTCTTACCTACTAATCCTTTCGTTTTCATCTCCACGTGAGTCTTCCACGCTTCCAACTCTCTCTCTCTCTCTCTCTCTCTCTACTATTATTGAAGATTTGAAGTTCGGTCTATCTCAATCCTCAACTCTATTATGTTTATGGTTTGTCATATTCAGTTACACTATATTTTATTTCATATAATATTAATTCATCATTATGATTAATATAAATTAAATCAATTGAGATGGGTCAAGTTAGAACGAATTGATGAAACATTAAAATCCAAACCAAAGATACAATAATGGATTTAGATTGGGTTTGGCCATAATTTGGTTGTTGAACCCAAATCAAACCATTCCAACGAATTTGGGTTGATTCCGATTGAAGACAACAGCTTATATATATTCACAGCACCCATTAAAATCCATGCTCTAACATCCAAAGATCACACTTTTTTTCATGATGAAAATCGTTGTTCCAGTTCGTAATCAATCTATTGTTCTTTCTTTTTCTTATATTCTTAACAGAGTAACAGAACCCATAAGGGGTTTGGATGAAATTGTGACATCCTTAACTTGGCTTTGGAATGTTACATATATGTATTTTTTATTTATTTAATTTGAGTCTTATTCAATAATTTAATAACTTAATGGTAAGGTAAGCTCTCATGGCAGAAACGATCGCACAGCACTAGAACGCTAAAACCCCGTCCTTGACTGTTGTCATTTTGCTAGGGAATGTTAATTTTATTAACACAAATTAATTATATTATTAAGAGATATAATAAAATTAAGCATGTGCCTTTTCCTAACAACTTAAGCTTTTAGAAGAGTTGATTGTTTGACACGACATGATGACCAAGTAATCCTTTCCACCCCATTTATCGAATAAAAAATAGAAATTAAGCAAAGTTAACATGATATTTATCCTATCTTCAAATCAAGTACAAGACTACAATTATGTACACCTTTTATATTAAATTAGAATCCATGTGATTAAATATTTTGAAAGTAAAATTAAATAATATTGACAAATATCATTATCAATATTCTCTCTTTCAAATTGTAAAAATTCAAATTCTTTTGAATTGATTATGCATATATATTTTTTGTAATTTTAAATATTTTAATTTATACTGTTTAGTTTTTTTAAAATTAATCTCATATACTCTTTTAATAATTTTAAATATTTTTTATTTTGATTATCTATTTTAATATTTTATTTAAATTTAAAAATGCTTACATAACACATGATATACGCATTACTTATAATAATAATAATAATAATAATAATAATAATAATAATAAAGAAATGATTCGTTTACAATTTTTTTTTACAAATTACATTAAGTATGACCGGTCATACACTCTTGATTGAAGTATGACCGGTCAGCACCACTAGGGATAGCCTAGCGATCCGAGTGGTGTTGGGTGTGTTTAGGGGTGTTAGGTTTGCTGTTCGATTCCAAGTACTATCCAAAAAAAAAGTATGATCGGTCATAATTAATGTAATTTGTAAAAATTTATAAACAAAAAATTTGTAAATATAACATTTCCTATAATAATAAATAAATAAAAAAGATACAAGTACTTATATATAGTAACGGCTAGTTTGTTAGTCTTTTACATGATACGTTTGCTGGTTGGTGAAAACCTCTTAAGTCCAATAATTGTGGTTGCTGGGTTGGTGCAACAGGAAAACATGGCGCAATGTTGATCAAAGTTCATCGAGAACTGTTCTTCGTACAGAATGTTTTCATCACCTAACCAAATTTGAGTGAGCAGTTGGGTGCTATAAAGATGGGTTACTTTGATTGTGTTTTATTTTTATTTCTTTTGTCTTAAAATTATTTTGTAGCACTCTTAATGAAATAGATATTTTATGTATTATTTTTTTAAGTTAAAAGTTAAAACATAAAACAAAAATAATTCATAAATTTAATTTTAAAAACCAAAAAATAGTTATACATTTTAAAACTATTTTTATAAAACAATTCTTATCATATAATTAAGTTTTTTTTTTATTCTGAAAATTAAGAAACTATTTTTGAAAACAAAATTAAAACAGGGTGAGACTCATGTAAATCTCTATATATTTGTGCAACTCAAGATTTTTCCCCCCAGATGAATAGTTAAATTGGCATGGGTACGAAAAGTGATATATGTAGGAAAAGTGTTTATCATTTTAAATGACACAACTTATATCCTTTCACTCTCATAAAGAGATAGGACCCACATCTTTATTTTTTTTGGTCAACTCTCTCTCTCTCTCTTTCTTTATCTATCTTTTTCTCTCTCTTAAAATGACACAACTTTACATCTTTTAAAATAACACACATTTTTTCCTAACTTTAAACATCCTGATAGAGTGATAGTCAAAGTTGTAATAACCTATGATGCATGGACACGGAACACGGGACACGATACGCCGACACGTTAATTCTAAAAAATGACATATTTCGACACGTTGAAACACGTTTTGATATTAAATAATATTTTTAATATATATAATATAATATAATTTATATTTAATAAATATAACAGTCCATAATAAGTCATATAACTAATCAAATATTCAAATTTTATAACATAAATATAAACAAAATAATTTTTCGTACCTTGTTAATTTTTCATATTAAATTTCATAACAGAAAAGAATTATAAATGATTTTTTTTATTTTTAGTTAATAAAATAAAATTAAGACTAAAAAAAAAACGTGACCGAGCGTTGACCACGTGTCGAAGAATTGACCGCGTGTCAGACGTGTGTCGGAGCGTGTCCGTGTCGGACACGTATCCGACACGCATAATTCAAAAAAAAAAAAGCACGAGTCCGTGTTTAGGAGGTAATAACTAATAGTTGTGATGTTAATATTTTAATTAACAATAAAGCTATATTAAATGAGTGATTAGGTAACAATGTAGTCAAGTTTTTTTTTTTTTTTTGTGAACATGTAGTCAAGTTAATATAACTTCATAACATTGTTATACCCAATCACTCAATGACGCTGTTTTAGTCTTATATGAACTTCTAATTCCAACGCAGTTGAAATCGATTTAAGTCAAGCCCTAGCACCAAAAAAAATGGGTGAATTGTAACCATAAATCTTTATTTTTGAGTTAGAAATTTTACCCCATTATTGTTTACTTCATGAAAAAAAAATTCCTTTAATACTTAAATTGTAATTGTGTACCCAACACATCCTAGGTTTAAATATTTTTAAAACATCAATGACTGATTTATTACGAATATTCACTTTTATATCAGCAATAAATAAAAATATCACATCATAAAAAACTTTATAGTATATTCTTAAAAATATAAAGTACCTTATCATTAGTGATTCAATTTTTTTTTTTTTAAAAAGCTAAAATAAAATCATTAAGGAGACAATCAATTTTTTAATTTTGAACTTCTATGAATCCAGCCAGTGATGCCAGCCAAAAGCAGTTCTATATCCAAGAAGAAGACTATAACCGACACAGCATTTTGTTTAACTCAAAAGGTGAGGATTAGAAACAAAGATATTACTTAAAAGAAAAATATGAACATCAAACATGGGAGCCTCTGGTTGGACGGCACACATGATTCCTTTTACGAGCATGCTCTTCACTGCGGTGCTGTGTCCGACATGCATATCCATACCAGCAATCTTCTCTTGCTGATGCATCCGGTGGAAGAAGCTTTTTGTAATATGCACACAAACCAAAATACAAGGGTCAACTTAGAATAAAAAATATCAGTAATGTTCATTCATATTTTAAGAGATGCAATTAGTTTCTTACAAGCTCTAAATAGTGAAACTGTGATAGAAATTTAGTAGAGCCAGAATCTTCTGATTAGTATAATGCTTTGAGTTGAAGGTACTTACGTATTTGGGAATAGAAATCCGAAACCAGTACAAGAGAAATGACACCAACTTCTGATAACAATCACTGCATGATTACAAGAAAGCATTACGAAAATGCAAAGGTTGAAATGACACTCAAGACAATTAATTGCGCACTGTACTAAAGTCAGTTGTTTATTACAATTAGAGTATCAACCAGCTCACAGTGTTAATATCTTCAAATAGAAACATGAGCCAAACCAGCATCCAGTATGTTACTCTTTTCAGTGTTGGACAAATACAGTATAGGTGTCCATTCAAACGCAAGGCAAATTAATTCTTAGTCCATCCTATATTTTTGCCTAAATTGCAAGGGGGTGGGGAAGGATGTTACTTGTTAGTCAATTGTCATTCATTAGTTTACAGCAGTAATCAAGGAGTGGCACATCTTCAAACGAAAATAACACACTACTTTAATAATAATAATGCAAACAAGTAAATAAAAAAGAGCTTGAGTTATACATTATTAGCCTCAGCATGGGTCCACCTAAAACAATTTTCATAACATGTATCACGTTACACAGAATGCCTTAAAACCTACTCTTAGGATAATTCATAAGTCTGGGACTACACATGCTACTTACAACATTTAAATAATTCCATTTTAGCCCTCAATGATGCGGGACAAAGCTTACCAGCATACAAATGTCCCAGCAGTAATCATTTCGGCATGATTCAGCATCATTCGTGTTGTATCTGCCAAAGACAAAAAGGAAACGTAAGATCTGTTGACACTGTTAGTTTACATCATCAGATCAATTTCACCAATGAATAACTTTTAGTAAGAATAATTTGCAAAATCTATGTTAGGACAGATGTATCAAAGGGTTTTTGTCAGGAAGAATAAAGGGGAGTCAAAGTTAGGAACAGTTAGGGCAGTTAGTTAGATAACTAGGTGGGAAAAGGGTAGAAAAAAGGCCTTCAGGGAAATTGTATTTGAGGGTGAACCGAGCACATGCTCAGTTGTAAAAAGGAAAACCTTTGGAGGAGAGTATCTAGCCCTGTTCTTTTAAATTTCAATCAACCAATAAAAACATCCTCTTTTTCTCCATTTTCATTTGGGGTTCCTAACATTTTGGTCCAACCTGCTAGAACTGGGGAGATGGATACCAGAGTTGAGGCATTGCAAAATCCCGTGGAACTTGTGAAGAAGATAACCAGTGATCATGGAGTCTAGAAGATGCTGGGTCAATAGTGTTGGGTTTTGCTCTTTCACTAAAGCCTAATAGGGCCTAGTGTGTAAGAAGAGACCAAGAAACCTAAAGCTCAAAGGGTTAGGGTTTCTTGGAACCCATATATATTCTACACTTATAGTTATCAGCCTCTCTAGTGTTCACTTGGTGGTTGCAGAGGCTGAGGTAAGGTCATCTCTCTGAAAGTGAGAGAATGCCCACACACTTCCCATTTTCCCTTGAGACATAGTTTAGAAGTTCTGTCACAGCCCAGCTTCAAGGAGGTTGTTCGTGCTGCAGCGCTGAGGTGAGCAGTTCGTGAAGAGGAATCATACAAGGGAAGATTCTACACGAAATCTGCGCACCAAGAGGTAATTTTTAAACGAGGATGATTTGGTAAGCATACCAATGTACTAGGTCTTAAATCGCTTCTGCATAAATCCAATAGTTCCTACAAATAGATAAAGAAGCAGGACATTGATCTCGAGAAAAAAGATGTTGAAATACAACCACCGCAAGAGATTTTGTCTTCTCAATTGAACAAGCAAGATAGGGTAGATTTGGACAAAGGAGAAATGGAATCTCACAGACAGGATGCGTTCTTGGGAGATGAAGATGGAATTGCCCAATTTCAATGAAAGTGATTCTGTGGGATGGATTGTCAGGGTAGAGAAATTTTTTGAGGTGCCCAATTTGAGATGAAGCCGGCAGAGACGTACAACTCACCTTCATCAGTCCATTGGTTCCACTTTTTGAGGGAGACCACGCTGGATTTGTCTTGGGAAGGGCTGATGATAGTCTTGATACAGTGGTTTGGTGGAAGAATTTTTGGAAATGTGTATGAGCACTTGACTACTCTGAAACCATTTTTGTAGAGGAATATTCCAAGAATTTGAGACTTTGGTGGCTTAAGCTTCATTGGAGGAAGAATAAAGGGGAGGCAAAGTAGTTAGGAACAGTTAGTTAGAGGAGGTTCATTTAGATAAATAGGGAAAATAATGTGATAGGCCTTTGGGGCCCAAACCCAGCTCGTCTAAGCCCACTATGGTTTGTGTGCGTGGTAAAAATAGAAGGAAGTTCAATTGGGCCTCAATGAATGATGATGCAGCACCTATGGAGCGTGAAGCTGAGGAGCGTGAAGCTGACGTTGTAATGGGAGAGTGAATTAGTTACAGTAGTGTGAAGGTAGAAGTTTGTTATTTAGGTGTGTGTTTGAATGGGTAGAGTCACCGATTGAGGTCATGGGATTTAGGCTAGGCTTGGACAGTGCTCATGGCGTCTCAATGCTGTTGCCAAGCTATTTGGCTCTTATTTCTGTTTTCTGTCATTTTCTGGATCTGTAATAGTTGAATTCTTATAACAGAGACCTTATTTTGTCAATTCCTTAAATTCAATACTAGCTACTGTGGTATTTTGCCATTTATTCATTGTTGATCTTATCAATTTGGTATCAAAGCTCCCGTTTCTGGGAGTCTTGGTATGGTATCTATGAGAAATATGGAAGGATTAGAGGAACGGATTCGACGTAGTGAAGCAGGTCAGGTGGAATTGATTCGTCGGATGGATGCTAACGATTTAAGACATATCGAAATGTTGCGTCAATTGGAATCCATTGCAGCAGCTGTCGCTGCACTACGACCCACTAATAGTTCAGGTGGAAATGGGGGACCAGACGTCGAGTCGGATAACTCCAACGGGTTACCGCGTCGTCCTATAATGAATGAGGTTAGTTCCAATAAGCTGGAAATCCCAGTGTTTACTGGTGAAGATGCTTGTGCTTGGTTAAGCAAGGTTGACCGTTATTTTTCAGTGAATGAAGTGGCTGAGGCTGATAGGGTGTGAGCGGTGTTGATGGTACTAGACGGTGAGGCACTTGGGTGGTTCCAATGGTGGGAGATAGAAAATCCGAATGCTACGTGGGTTCAGTTCTGACGAGAAGTTCTGAGTAGATTCGAGCCTGAGATCCAAGATAACCCGTATGGGCCCTTATATGCCCTGAAACAAACGGGATCGGTAGCCACTTTCAGAACGGAGTTTGAGAGGGTGGTAGGGATGATGAGATATGCGGATGAGGAGTTTATCAAAGGGGCTTGGTTGAATGGGTTGCGCGCGAGTGTCAGGGAGGAAGTGCTCATGTCGCCGAGGCTCCGTTTGTCGGCGATGATGAAATTATCTCAGAAGATCGACCAGCGAAATATGGCGTGGCTAGAAGAAGGTGTTGGTTTGGGTGGGTCTAAGGCTGGTGGGTCCTCAAAATCTCAGAATGGGCCAACCCAAACGCGCAATAATAGTGGGCCTGCTAATTGGGCCCAATCCGGAAGTCGGAGCTGGAAAGGGGGCTCCAGTCCACTTAACTCATTCGCAAACCCTAACTCGGCTGTGAAGGGCTTGAATTCCCTAAGCAATCACGCCAGTAATTCATCTTCGTAAGGATCCATAGCTCAAACGAGCACTTTTCGTCGATTGCCTCAAGAGGAGATGTTGGAGCGAAGACGAAAGGGATTGTGTTTCAAATGTAATGAGAGATGGGGGTTGGACCACAAATGTGCGGTCAAGCATCTCAACCTACTGATCATGGACGATGGAGAGGAGGAGGCAGACGCAGCTCCAGATATGCTAAAACGTTTACCGTCTGACCAGCAGGAGGAAGAGAACAGGCTCGCGCTCCAGTTGTCTCTTCAAAGCTTGATGGGGTTGACGTCGAATCAAACGTTGAAGGTTTGGGGCCAAATCTCGGGCTCCAAGGTGGTTGTCCTGATTGATTGTGGGGCTTCCAACAATTTCATTAAGGCAAAGGTAGCGCAGTAGCTGGGGTTATTGGTGGAAGATACACACCCGTATCAAGTGGAGGTGGGTGACGGTCATAACGTTACATGCAAGGGGGTTTGCCGCCGAGTGGAGATTGAGGTGCAAGGTAACTTCATCTTGCAAGATTTATTTTTGTTTGATCTGGGTGGTGCGGATGTGGTGTTAGGGATGGATTGGCTACAAGAGTTGGATGAAATCAAAGCAAATTTTCGGGACATGACCTTCAAATACAATGATCAGGGCAGTGAAAAATTTATCACTAGTGACCCCTCCTTGTCACGGACAGTATCTTCTATTAAGGCTGTGTTGAAGGCGGTTCAGGTTGGGGGTCAAGGGTTCTATGTGCAGACTGAGATTAGTTCCCCTGCTGTTGATTCCCAATGGTCCGGTTGGACTGAGCTGGAGGCCCTCATCAATGAGTTTGCAGACGTATTCTCCTTGCCTCTTGGTTTACCCCCGCAGAGGTCTCATGATCATGCTATCACATTGGTTTCTGGTGATTCAGTTCCAAATTCTCGGCCTTACCGTTACCCGTACTATCAAAAAACGGGACTTGAGAAACTGGTTGGTGAGCTACTCAGAGCTGGGACTGTTCGGCCTAGTATCAGCCCATACTCAAGTCCTGTCATTCTTGTTAAAAAAAAAGTGGTAGTTGGAGATTATGCGTTGATTACCGAGAGCTGAACAAGTTGACAGTGCCCAACAAATTCCCTATCCCAGTGGTGGATGAGCTCTTGGATGAGATTGGGGGGCTCAAATCTTCTCCAAGATTGACTTGAAGTCTGGTTACAATCAGATTCGCGTACGTGAAGAAGATATTCCCAAAACCGCATTCCGGACGCATGAGGGGCATTATGAGTATTTAGTTATGCCTTTGGGTTTAACTAATGCTCCCTCCACGTTCCAGGCCTTGATGAATGAGGTGTTGAAACCCTTTCTACGTAAATTTGCATTAGTTTTTTTTTATGACATTTTAATTTACAGCCGCAGCAAAGGAGAACATGTTGACCATTTGCGGCAGGTTTTTCTGGTTCTACGCAATCATGCATTGTTTGCTAATAGAAAAAATGCAGTTTTGGCCAACAAGTTGAATATTTGGGTCATATTATTTCGGCCGCTGGAGTTTCGGCTGACCCGCATAAAATTCATGCTATGAGGGAGTGGCCCTCTCCTAAGGATGTCAGGGGTTTGCGTGGGTTTTTGGGTCTCACCAGTTATTACCAGAAATTTGTGCAAGGATATGGTAAGCTGGCTAAGCCTCTGACTGACCTTCTTAAAAAGAACAGTTTCAAATGGAACTCGGAGGCCGATTCTGCTTTTCAAGAGTTAAAAGAGCGAATGAGCTCGGTGCCAGTCCAAGCTCTACCTGATTTTTCCAAACCCTTTACGGTTGTAACTGATGCTTCCGGCAAGGGTATAGGGGCTATCTTAATGCAGGAGGGTCGCCTGTTAGCTTATGTCAGCCAAGGTTTTTCGAGTAGGGCCTTGGCTAAATCTGTTTATGAGAAGGAGTTGGTGGCCATTGTCTTTGCTATACAAAAATGGCGTCAGTACTTGATGGGCAGGCACTTTATTGTGCGCACGGACCAAAAGAGTCTCAAATTCTTGACTGATCAACGAGTCTTGGGTGAGGAACAACAGAAATGGACCTCTAAATTGCTGGGTTACGACTTTGAAATACAATATCAGCCGGGAAGGGATAACGTCGTGGCTGATGCTCTTTCCAGGCGTATGCAGTGTGCTGCCATCACTAAGATGGAACTGCCTGAAGGGGAGGAGTGGGAAAAAGAGGTGCAGCAAGATCTCAAGCTTTGTGCGATTATCCAAGCTCTGCTACTTGATCCTACCTCACAGCCTGGTTTTACCTTATACGGGGGTCGTTTATTTTTTGAAGGCAGATTGGTGCTCTCCAAGACTTCCAGGTTCGTTCCCTTAATTCTCCATGAGTTCCATGATTCTGGTTTAGGGGGCCATTCGGGGTTTTTTCGCACCTTTAAAAGAATTGCAGGGGTTGTGTTTTGGGAAGGTATGCGCAGTTCCATTAAAAAATATGTGGCAGAGTGTTCTGTGTGTCAGCAGAACAAAGTGCAGAACTTGTCACGAGCTGGGTTGCTCCAACCCTTGCCTATTCCGACTCAAGTTTGGAGTGATATTTCCATGGATTTTGTGGGTGGTCTTCCTCGGGCTGGTGGTTTGGATACTATTTTCGTTGTTGTTGACAGGCTCACTAAGTACGCTCACTTTATGTCTTTAGCTCATCCTTATTCTGCGAAAGATGTGGCTGAGTTGTTTATTCTCTATCTAGTGAAGCTGCATGGGTTTCCCATCGCCATTGTATCGGATCGAGATAAGGTTTTTATGAGTCATTTTTGGTCAGATTTGTTCAAGGCCGCTGGTACCAAGTTACATTATAGTTCCGCCTACCATCCGCAAACGAACTGCCAAACGGTGGTGGTTAATCGGTGTTTGGAAACGTACCTTCGATGTTTCTGCCATTCCAAGCCAAAACAGTGGCCTAAATGGTTGCATTGGGCAGAGTTTTGGTATAACACTACTTATAAAGTTTCCACGGGAATGTCGCCTTTCAAGGCATTGTATGGATCGGATCCCCCGCATATTTTACGGGTAGGTAACAGCGCTAGTTTTGTTGATGCCGTGTCTCAGTTGCTCACGGAGAGAGATTCCATTTTAGATGAGCTCCAGGCTAATTTACTAAGGGCGCAGAATCGTATGAGAGCACAGGCTAATTTGCATCGCAGGGAGGTTGTTTTTGAAGTTGGTGATCTGGTTTACTTGAAGCTCCAACCATATCGCCTCAAAACTCTTGCTAAAAAAATTAATGAGAAGCTAAGTCCTCGTTGCTATGGACCCTTTGAGATATTGCAGAAAATTGGGGCGGCAGCTTACCGTTTATCTTTACCTGATGGTTGTCGGGTTCACCCTGTTTTCCACGTTTCTCTTTTGAAGAAGGCCATTCACCCTGTGCCTAATGTTCAGTCCTTACCTCCTATGTTATCTACTGATTGGGAGTTGCAAGTAGAGCCTGAGGATGTTCTGCAATGGAGGCATTCAGCTACTGGCAGTTTGGAGGTTTTGATTAAATGGAAGGATTTGCCTTCTTTTGAAAATTCTTGGGAGAACTTTCTGGCTTTGGAGGCTTTGTTCCCTACTGCCCACCTTGAGGACAAGGTGCTTAATTTGGGGGAAGTATTGATAGGCCTTTGGGGCCCAAACCCAGCCCGTCTAAGCCCACTATGGTTTATGTGCGTGGTAAAAATAGAAGGAAGTTCAATTGGGCCTCAATGAATGATGATGCAGCACCTATGGAGCGTGAAGCTGAGGAGCGTGTAGCTGAGGAGCGTGAAGCTGACGTTGTAATGGGAGAGTGAATTAGTTACAGTAGTGTGAGGGTAGAAGTTTGTTATTTAGGTGTGTGTTTGCATGGGTAGAGTCACCGATTGAGGTCATGGGATTTAGGCTAGGCTTGGACAATGCTCATGGCGTCTCAATTCTGTTGCGAAGCTATTTGGCTCTTATTTCTGTTTTCTGTCATTTTCTGGATCTGTAATAGTTGAATTCTTATAACAGAGACCTTATTTTGTCAATTCCTTAAATTCAATACTAGCTACTGTGGTATTTTGCCATTTATTCATTGTTGATCTTATCATAATGCTAGAAAGGAGTCATTCAAGAAAATTATATTTCAGGTGAACCAAGCAAGTGCTCAGCTGTAAAAGTGGAAACCCATTGTGAAGGGAAAACCCTTGAAGGAAAGTTTCTCGCTTGTTCTGTTCAATTCCAGTCAATCAATAAAATCATCCTTTTATTTTCTCCATTTCCATTGAGGGTTTCTAACAATCTACCACTGGATTGAAAATTTTCATTAAGCATAGCAAGCTAATGCAAAACAAGAATATTAAAATCCCGGAAGAATACTTCTCATGAACCATTTACAGAGAAGACGAATTTATCACTTTACCAATTTCTTTGTTGTTCAGCTTTGCTATCCACTCTGAAATAACATCCTGCAACGTCCTCCCCATTTGTCTAATGCAACTTTCAGTGATCTAGAAAATCACAAATGATAATCATAGTAAAAAACGATCAGCTAAAACAGACCAAAAATGATAAAAACATGGGGATCAGAAAGCTTGTACGTTCTGTTCATGCAGATTCTTTTCATGCGCTAACAAAGGGATTCTCGAGATAGAGTGTTCTGAGATCTGCAAAGAAAAAAAAAAAAGCAGACAAAGGACGTGGCTAAGCGACCATTATATGATATTCATAGCCTTTAATTCCCAAGGCAAAGAAGAACCAAGCGAGGAAACATTTTGTTGCACAGTTAATTGGATGGTGGAAATCAACTAAAAAATCCACCCTGTAACACAAAAAATATAAGGGCTTTCTAAAAAGCAACTTTCATAACAATTATCAATTGTGATAAACATAGTACATACAGGTCTTAAAGTATCCTGGGAGCAAACAGGGTAAGAGCCATTCCCAGTTACCCCTAACGCATGCCAGTAAGCTCCACAGAAAGGTCTATCACATCCTGAACCTACAAGTAATGAAAAGCATGAATTATCTGACATTTTGAATGAATGTGAATATTACATATCACCATAAAGAAAATGGAAAATAAATAAAATACTACGTTTCATCAGTGTGAATTTAAATGACCTACAAGATACTACAATGCTACAAGCTAGCATGAAATATCTTGACCCCAATCAAAGGCGATTTATCAAAAAACAGAAACATGGCTGTGCAATTAGCTAAATCACACATGATAACTTACAATATTGAGGAACACCAAAACCAGTACGGGAAGGCATCATTCCTCCACATGATTGACATTGGAGATGAACAGTGCTATGATTGCAACGAAACCCACCAACTTCAGTAACTAAAAATTGTAAGTGAAGTATTGAACTCAATGAGCATGATGAGACAAAGAAATAAAGGAAAAGGTAACAAATTAGATTTTTTCTCTCTATGACACATGATGTAAATTGTCAAGAAAGTCAGAGTATAATCACGGTAGCTAATAGGGAGCACCCAAACAAACAAAATTCAAATCCTTTTCAGGTCTAGGGATGACACATAAAAAGAAAGACAAAGTAACGAAGTTTAAATGACATCATCTGGTTCAATAAGCCATTTCAAAAAGAAAAGCTTCAGTATCAGCAGTCCAAGTACCATTCTATTCAAAAACAAAATATGCCCTTCCAAACTAAATGCATGTTTTGAATGATTTCTAAGATTCATTGAATACTAAGTACACAATACAAGGGCTTTTGATATATATATATATATATAAATAAATTAAAAAAAAATCATATACCAATGTGAAATACTGGAGTAGTAAAACCCTTAAAGGAAGGAATTTGAACCAATGTATAGCACAAAAAACCACAAAGATCTCTTTTATGCCGGCCAGAACAGACTACGAACATGGCATTCTTATGGATAACATAACTGAAATAGAATGCCATGAACAATTAGCACTGTATGCTAAGGAGATTGATGGGGGGGAAATATTATGCTGCATAGACTGCATTGTCCTAGGGACATCATTGCACATCCGACATTGTATTACATACCACACTGTGGGCACTGATGGTGTGTGCCATCACTTTGATCATCCAGTGGTGTATGGGCCCTCTTTCGATTCTTCTTTCCAGATCCAATGACCTAATAAAATTAGCAGAAGAACATTATCAACAATAAAACCATCGACATAAGATCTCAAAATCCAGAAAAAGGGGGGTATCAATAACTATTCTCAAGTTAAATAAAAGAACCTGGCAAACAACCTTAATCATAACTGACTTCGAATAAAATTCTATAACAAAGGACAGAATACTTTATTACAACAACTAGACACATCCACACAAACATACATATATATATGTATGTATATATGCATATATATACATATACATACATACATATATATAGGGCTTATCATTTCTGCAGCCGCCATAGATAACACTCTCTACAGCTGACACAGAAAAGTGGGCCCCACGGCGTTTTAAAAAAAAAAAAAAAAAAACAAGGATCCGGTGCCGTATCCTAGGATCCGCACGCGGACCCTGGCTAGCTGTAGGTGCCGTTTGCTCTGTCTTCATTTTTTGTTTAAAAATTCAGAATGGTTGGACAAGAATTGCATAACACAGCAGCGGGAAATAAATTCTGACCATTAAAAGAATCATTTTACTCACAAGGTTTGATCGTACAGATGAATATGTATCCAAAAGTGCAACTTCATCAGACGTGCGTCTTAGGGAAGAATCAGCTCTTACAATATCCTGGAAAAGAAAAAAAGACTACTGAGAGAAAACAACAACAAAGCCTTATTGTACCAGGTGCATCAACTACATGGATCAATGCACACCACTTGACAATTTATATATAAAACATATTTTCAATAAAACAATTAAGATAAACTAGTGAGTAAAAGAAGAGAAGAAAATCAATAGATCAATCAAAATAGAGTTATGACAATGAAACAAAAGAGAACCCTTGTAACTCTGAACTAGAAGTATGATAGCTTGCGGTCAAACTATATTTCAGGCTAGTCATCCTGGTAATTATGCATCAGAATAATGCTTAAACTTTGATTTATGTATCAAGCAATCCTCTAATCCATGCCCAACATCATCCTTTCCCGCTATTTTGCAGCTGCCCATAAGTGGACAAGCACACTACAATTAAATATGCTTAATTATATGTCATCTACAATTCAGTTCAATCTCTATGAAATGCTGTGTCATGAAATTTACCTCTGCAATGGTACGCAGAAAGTGGTTCTTTCCAACAAATTGAACAACTGCTCTGCATTGAGGACAAAGTACGGTTGAGCGTTTTTCCTTTGACCTCTTTAACCACTCTGAGAAGCAACCGTTGCTGTGATGTCAAATAGCAATTCAAGCTAAAGTCAATGAACTGAAACGGAACTACAATCCTAAGAAAAGAGGAAGAAAAGGCTATCATCCATACCAAAAATTATGAAGACAAGGAGCAACAGTGACAACATCATGCCATATGTTTAAACAAATGCTACACTTTGCATGGTCGACATCTACACATATCTATAATAGAAACACAAACAAGTCATCAGCATTGCTACAGATAAAAACAGTATTGAAGGAGACATTAAGGAGGCAGAACAAATTAGAAACTGTCAACCTTTAGCTGCGTCTGGCAGGTTTCTGGACTAGACATTACATGAAATCTGTAGCTAACAAATCCTAATGCCATGAAGAGAGAGAAAATGGAATTAAAGTAATTAATAATCAGCTTATAAATATTGAAAAATGATATCAAAAACCAAATAATTAGCATAAAATTTTGTCCAACTCTAATAAAGATATTACTAATAATTCGAAAGACCCAAAAATCGTGCCAACCAGAAACACTATTGAGAAAAGAAATCTCCACTTGTTTTTAACATAATGTGGGTTAGGATTAAAATGGCACAAATTACATGCCATTAATTTATTTTAGGCCAATGTTACTGCCCAAGGTGATATGCTGACCAATCAATCACACCATTTTTAATCCAAATCCCTTTATTGAATTAGCTATTTAACGCAGCGAACAATTAATACGACCACTTTTGTCAAACCAAGTTTGATGCTTATTGAAGAAAATAGGATAACATGTTACTCAACCCAAGGAAAACTTGGAATATATCTTTGCTTGAGACAAATCAATGTATTGACCGTAGCCCAACAGCAACACTACTTTATGGAATTGTAACAACTGAATCATAGATTACAACATAATTTTACAACTTTCTGCTCGATATATGTAGTCAGCAAAAAGAATTGTTACACTAGAATAAATATAAAAAGACTCTGACCTTCTCTATCAGGAGCTGGGATAATTTCACTTCCATCCTTGATAACAAGGGTGTCATCATTGCATACCTCAGCCCCATCAACAAGTATTGTATTTGAACTAAAGTATGAATGCATGATACACCCAAAAAAAAAAAAAAAAGAATTAAAAAATATAAAGGACAGCAAATATGAAGAAGAAAGGAGACAAGACCCTTTTAGCAGAGAGCATAAGACTTTCAATACTTGGGGGGCAGGGGGGTTGGTTGTGGAAGCATGCAAAGTATAAATTATTTCATTAATCGGCATTCCTTCACCATCAGGTTCCCAGTTCTTCTCAAAATAATAATTTCTACTAACAAATATTTATCTTGGCAAATAGGGAGCATGATTTACTCAATTACTTTATAATTATTATTAATTGGTCATGAATTTACCTCTTATTTTCCATTGTGGCAGAACATAGATCAGAATTCCTTACTATTTTGCACCAGCTATGTTTGTCACTGCAAGTAGATGACATCTCCGAACATATTACTTTTTCATCTGACCTTATCTCAACATCTGAATATCTCGAGTCTGACGGAACTGCAAGAAGGAAAGAGTTTGATCAAAAAAAGAACCTTAAGGAAATTTCGCACTCTACACTAAATCTATCCCTTCACTTTCTTTCTTTCTTTTTTTCTTTTTTTCATTTTTAATCTAAGAATCAATTTGGCATTCTCACAAAATTGGGATGAAAACTCGGACGAGTTTTCTTACAAATTTTTAAAGAAAGTTCATCCGTATATTTTCCATTCTTATTTTTAAGGGGAACACCAAACTGACCCCAACAGTTAAAGCAACAATGCTTGTAAACAGCATTCAAATTACATCCTCATGAACCAAAATCAAATGTATAAACCCAATAAAACAGTGAGTTATATCAGTATCACTACCCTCTTTAGCCTCTCCATTCATTCCCACCCACTTCAACCCAACATAAACATAAGAAGAAACTCTTCCTACTCCTTCTATACCCCCAGCCCTTCTGCCAAATACACTGCAAACCTACAAAGTTCTTGTCATTGTGAAGATAGCAACACCATGCAAATTAATCAAAGCCCAAAAAGAACCATCCACAGCGACCCATTATTACAGTGCACGTACGAGTAATTAACCAGCGGAACTATGCAGGAACCTTGCATGAAATGAACTTCTGAGCAACTTATAATGACAACATAAGAAAAAATAAAAATGGAGGCTTTATTGAGAAATTTGAAGAATTAAAACGAAATCTGATAGGGGGGAATTGAAAAACATGAAATGCCCCAAGTTTGAAACTTGAATTAATATCTGTAATGTGTGTCTGACATGGATACCCAAAAACAGATTGAAGAAGAATAATGATTACCAAGCTTGGCCCAGATTTCATCTGAGGGTTTGGCTGAACCAGAGCATTCTCCCCTTTCCTCCATTGATCAGAAAGCCCTTCTCTTTTTTCTCTGAGTTGTAGGGCTTATCATTTATTTATATTTATATTATAAGCATTAATTTGTTTCAAGAAACATCGTACGTTTTCAGGAATGATATTAAAATGTTATTTATGAGGAAATTAATATAAAAGAGTAGGCGTAAATAATATAATAGAATGAAATAATGAAATTATTCAAAAAAAAAAAAAAACTTTATAAATAAAATAAAAATTGGAATAATTAAAATTTATTTCTTAAATTAGTAGAAAAAAACAAATCTTTTTTGTGTTCTTGCTCTACATACAAGTTTCTTTAAGATATGACGGTAAGAATAATCTGGGTTTTGACTTTTGAGTTTTATGATCCTCCCTCGTCACATATTCAAAGTGGGAAAACGTTTCTGAAGTGTTTATATTTTGGCTTTAATTTGAACAATATTTATTTTTTGAGTAGTTCTTTTGATAAACATGTTCCTTGAGTTAATTTTACCTTGTGTATCATTTCAATGAGTTTGAATCCTTAGTCTCCAAGTGCATATTGAGAGAGCAATAACCATTTTTTTACTATTTTTCCTCTTTGTTCTTGATGAAGAATTTGTTTACTTCCTACCCTGCCACTTGATGCATCATTAATTATCACTTTTACTCTTTTGGTCTGTACTTCAACATATTCATGTTTAGACTGTTTCATTTTTTTCTTTTAAATGATTGAAGATCAGTGAAGCTTGAAGATCAGTGAAGCTTGAAGCTTGGATTGGGATATATACTTTTGCTCCTTTTGTGGTGTTTTGAGCTTATCAGAGATAATTCCCCTCACCTGAACATTGCCTCGTTCTTATTTTCTCTCTTATAATTAGAAAATATTCTTTCGTCCTATATAAATTCCTCCTCTTCGCGATATAATACAGTTTTAACTTTTATGAGTTGTTATTTTGCATAATTTTAGAGTCACCATACAATACTACACAATAAGTTTTGGTCTATATCACTGTTTCATTGAGCACCCATACATTTACATTGAGATATTACACCCATTGACGAATAAGAACCTAATTCCATTTCTGCAATTGTTCATGTGGTAACCAATCAATTTCCTGATTCATATTGGATAATTTCCCTTTTCACTTGTCCTATAAGATCGGAATCAGCCACCGTTTTATCTGAATTGGAAGGTTCACCACATGACTTGGTAAGTTTATCCATTTGGGTTAGTTTCTCTTGCAGCAAAACAAAGACTAGTTTATTTTTTGGTTTTATTTTTATGTGATATAAGATAAATTTTCTCTCATACTCTCAAAATAAATGGTGGGACCCACTTTATTTTCTAAAAGAAAAAAGAAAAAAATAGAACACGAAAATTGAAGTGAGAGTAGGAGATAAAATTTCTCTTATGTGATATAAGAGAAATAAATTTTATTTTTTTTAGTTTTTAGTTTGGTTTGGAAGTTCTCTTATAAGAGTTAAGGGGATGTATTAGATTGAGATTTCAAAGAATTTTAAAAGATTATTTTTGGACAAAAAAACCCATTAGTATTCAATTAGGATTTTAATGGATTGAAAAAAAGTCATGTGGTATTCAATTAGAATTTTAAAAAATTATTTTAGAGTCCGTTCAAATCCGTTGATATTCAATTAAGATTTTAAACAATGGAAAAACAATCTCGTGGTATTCAAAAAATCTAACGATTTTAATGGATTTTCTATTAGTGTGGATTTCGTGAGACTTTAGTAAGAAATATAAATAGAATGCCTCTCTCACAATCTCACCCTAACACCTAGGATTTTTTGATATTTTCTATTGCAGTGTTTTCTTCTTCTTTTGGCAGGTTGACCCGCTCGAAATCGGGTTCCGCTATAAGAGCTTCGTCAAAACTCAAAAAAAGCATATTTTTGAGCGATTTTCATCACAAAATAACATAGAAACAACAATGTAACGAGATTTTAATATAATCTATCTCAAAAATAATATATTTTTGAGCCATTTTTTATAAATTTTGAAAGTTTAAAAAGTGATTTTTCAAGCTATGGGTCGCGATTCTTTTTAGCACAAAAAAGTGTGATTTTTGTATTAAAAACAACATAAAACAGTGGAAAAATAATAGGAGAACTAAAACTCTCAATCCAATTTTCGTTTTACATCAATGAAACAATATCAATACGAAACTTGAAACTTTCATAATATGAACCCTATATTTCATAACAATATATTCTTGAACGAAATTCCTTTACTATGGGAAACGATTTAAAACAATTTTTGTGTCAATAGATAACTAAAAACTTATTTTTCAAAAGCCCCAAAACAATTTAAGGTTTCAATGTATCGATTGAAAAAAATTGATAAATTTTCTAAACTTTCATGTAATAAAATCCAAAAATTCAGATTCGAAATTTTCTTCGAATATTCAATGAAAATATGCATATGATATATGATTAGAAAACTCTCATCACGTAGAACAAAAATCCCAAGGGTTTCAAGATCAATTGCTAAAAAATTCAAACGAAATTTTATCGTGAACTTTAGGTTCTATATGCAAATTGAGAATTATTTTAGTAATTAAAAAAATTGGGTCTTATAATCATACTAGTGAATTTACCCGTGCGATGCCCGGGAGAAAAAGAACAAAATATTTATCGTCCGCCGTAGTTGGTTAATCGCACTGCAAACCTTATACTTACAAAAACCTGTGTTATTATCTTATTCTATATTTCAGGTGAAAAAAATTACAGCATTGACACAACTTTGCAAATATCAATCATAAACAAAAATCTGCTATCGAAAGTGATCAATATTATGCAAATCAAATACAGTTATCTACTCGATAAGTTATGTAAAAAATAAATACGCCACAGTAGACTATGTTAAAATGAGGATGGGTAAAAAAAGAAAAATGCATACAACTTATTGCTAACTATAACAGCACTAATAAAATCAAGGTAACAAACAGACCAAGCAAATATGGAATTAAAAGATCAGTTTGTACCTATAATAAGAAAACACTATTAATTCAGTGTCATTCTGTAGCAATCATTGGAGGAATGAGTTCAACACATATCAAACATGTGATTTCCTATGCTTCCAAGATCGTTTGCTGAACAAATGATCATCAAATCTACTTCCATGACCAACCCGCTCTAACAAAAGATAAACAAAATACCGATCCATCTCAGGTTCAAGATTGATTGCAAAAGATGAATTGGGAGAATCGAAAGAAAAGTGAGAGAGAAGTGGGAAAATAAAAAAACCATAACAGATGTAGATCAGATCTAAGAAAAATATCCTATGATTTTACCTTTAAACTATTTTCACTTTAAAGCCATAACAGATGCAGATCTATCCACGCAAATCTTTGAACGCAAAGCTTCGAACATTATTCAATAAAAAAAGTTCAGATTCACAAATCCAAAAGGAACAAAGAACAATGAGATGCAGTGAGAAAATTTTGTTACGATTTAAAAAAAAAAATCTTACTGCTGCACTGAGAAAATGAGATGTGGTGGCAGTATTATGAATCTTTCCATCCTGAAAAATGAATAAATCAGTCAGTATAAAATTTATGAAAACAAATTCATAGGGTTTGTTCTTAAAGAAACAGAGAATTATACCAATAGAACAATCACTACACACATGAACGGAAAAAAAATGCAAGCAAGAAAAAAAAAAGAAGCAACACTTCCCTATTTATAGGCAAAGTCGTAATTTATTTATTTAAAAAAAAAATTAGCTTGTAGAATACACTTCACCATTACCAATGCAGAAAATAGTGGAGGAAACTTAATTGTTAGGTGACTGATTTCAATTTCAATTAATACACTTCCCATCCATTTCAAATTTCAATTTCGAATTTTGAATTGAGAACATCATTAATACAGCTCACTTGTTTCCTCGCATTGAACATTGAGGACATATGCTTCCAAGATCGTTTGCCGAACAAATGATCATCAAATCTACTTCCATGACCAACCCGCTCTAACAAAAGATAAACAAAATACCGATCCATCTCAGGTTCAAGATTGATTGCAAGAGATGAATTGGAAGAATCGAAAGAAAAGTGAGAGAGAAGTGGGAAAATAAAAAAACCATAACAGATGTAGATCAGATCTAAGAAAAATATCCTATGATTTTACCTTTAAACTGTTTTCACTTTAAAGTCATAACAGATGCAGATCTATCCACGCAAAGCTTCGAACATTATTCAATAAAAAAAAGTTCAGATTCACAAATCCAAAAGGAACAAAGAACAATGAGATGCAGTGAGAAAATTTTGTTACGATTTTAAAAAAAAAAATATCTTACCGCTGCACTGAGAAAATGAGATGTGGTGGCAGTATTATGAATCCTTCCATCCTGAAAAATGAATAAATCAGTCAGTATAAAATTTATGAAAACGAATTCATAGGGTTTGTTCTTAAATAAACAGAAAATTATACCAATAGAACAATCCCTACACACATGAACGAAAAAAAAATGCAAGCAAGACAAAAAAAAGAAGCAACACTTCCCTATTTATAGGCAAAGTCGTAATTTATTTATTTAAAAAAAAAAATTTAGCTTGTAGAATACACTTCACCATTTCCAATGCAGAAAATAGTGGAGGAAACTTAATTGTTAGGTGACTGATTTCAATTTCAATTAATACACTTCCCATCCATTTCAAATTTCAATTTTGAATTTTGAATTGAGAACATCATTAATACAGCTGACTGCCACCAAGTATTTTATAATGATTTAAAAGAAACTCTCCATCCTTTGTAGAATTTTTTTATTTACGAAATAAAAAACATTTATAAAAGAAGTAACTACTTTTCAAACTATCTCCAATGTGAACACAAAGCTGAGAATTAAGGAGAATGCGACACCTCAGCTAATTTTCAAAAATTTGGTTCTCCTTTCTATATAGTAAGATTTTGAATTGAGAACATCATTAATACAGCTGACTGCCACCAAGTATTTTATAATGATTTAAAAGAAACTCTCCCTCCTTTGTAGAATTTTTTTATTTGCGAAATAAAAAACATTTATAAAAGAAGT